AATTTGAGGTGCTAATTTATTAAAATTATTTTACATTCTTGGTTATTTATTCCAGGTGTTTTCTGTTTCTGCAGAGAGAAGCTGTTAGCTGACAGAGATAAAAAAAAAACAGTTTACCTGCCACTGAAAGAAGCTTAAAATCAATAAATTCTGGACCTTTTTCTAAAAAAAAAACATTTTTTACACAACTTTCTTGGTTTTTAACTACATGACCTGCCATGAAAACATTAATTAAACCAATAAAACCATCAGATAAAGAACAAACTCACTCAGACCAGTCTGTTTCAATGCTTGGTGTTTAATCAATAAAAGCACAGGAAGAGTTCAGTTTGCAGGAATTAAAGCTGAGCTGATTTTTTTAAAGGCATTTCTGTTAAAGATGCGATAAGTAGAATCTTCCCCTCCTGGTTCTGTAACTTCATTTCTCAAGCTTTGTCTCTCCACGGCGGATCCTGACCCGGTGTCTTTTCTTGACGCAGACAGAAGGTAGGCGTATTGAACAGTCCTGGTCGTTCCAACAGTTCTTACCTGTAAACATGAAAACAATGTGAACATTTGTTAGAGCTGTAAACAAAAACAACAACAACAACAACAATAACAACAGCAATAATAACAAACTTAATGCTTTACAAAGGCAATGTCAGGTAGTTCATTTTAAGAAATATTCTCTAATTAATGAAGTTAAGCTTTGGTTTTGTTTTTCAGTGTTAAACTGTGAAATATTCAGACAATAGTAGGAATTTTAAAAATGACCAGTTAAAAAGACCTTCATGATTGATTCCCAAGCAATGCTCATTTCCTCCATAGTTGTTGGGTTCAAGTGGGCACCAGTTGGTGTATTTCATGGGTTTCCCATCACTCCAGAGCCACACATGATTCTGAAAGACAACAAACAAACAAACAAACAAACAAAAACAAGTTGAGCCTTTCTGATCATTAAAACAGCTTCCTGCAGTGATGACGTCACTTTTACTGAGAACATTGTTGATTTTTCTTCTTTTGGGAGCAGTGGGACGCACATATTCAGGGGGGCACCTTGTGTGGTGCACGTGAWTGCTGGCTGTCTTAGAAGTGWGAAYTTATCACAGGCACAGCACTGTGTGCATTTCAAATCAGCTAAATGCTGTCTGATGCAAATGTTTAATATTCAACACTCTASAGGTCWKTTTCYGCAACAAATGGCAGRAAWAATAACAGTAATGACTATTTGTGCATACTTAGTAAGGGTGCAACAATACATGTACCCGTATTGAACCRTATCGAAGAGTGCTTTAGGTTCAATACACACTTGTATGGAACAATACAGATTTTTAAAATTTATTTTATGAACTTGTCTTCTGAAGATGCTCTGTGTTGAAGGATCAGTGGATCTGTGTTCAACTCATCTAGGCTGTTTTTTCAAGAGTTGATCCACTGAGAAACTTGCTGTTTCAGCAACATTTAATTTAAATGTAATTTAAAAATGGTACTTTTGAGGTTAATTAAATGTTCATAAACAATTTCAATAAATTACAAGTTAAAAAGGCCATGGAAATTTCTGTTATTTGTATCGATAAAATATCAAACTGTGAGACTAAAGTATCGAACCAGACCGAATYGKGAATTTTCTGTATCRTTGCWCCCMTRGTACTYAGAGTCTATAAAACAACTGTCTATAATGAAGTTTTTACACAAAACTGCTTCAAGACTGTCTTGTTTTAGGATCTTTCTTCCATCTCCTTCATTTTGATCAGAGAGCTCTGATTCTGTTTCTGTTGATGCTCTGGACTCTGACCTTTCAGCTTCATCTGTGTCTGACTGATACTTTAATGATTTGTCTCCATCCTCTTCATCATGTTGCTGGAAAACATTTAGCTACTTCTCTGCAGCAGCTAAAAGACCAACAA